GAAGACACTTCAAAATTCTTAGTACAGAGCCAGGGAACTGCCAGGCCAAATCCATCTCAAGTAAACAAACATGCTGTCAGTCCCCTTTTTCCCAGAAACAACCCACAGAGGAAAAAAAAAAACCACCAAAGTTAATTAGGGAGTGCCTGGATTGCAGCTGGCCATATGGCTGCCTGGGAGCAGAGGTTGCTTTGTGCACCTGAGGCTGAACAGGCTCTAAGGAAGAGACTCGAGAAACCTTTCCTTTGCCATGTTTAGCAGCAGGGAACAAAAGTACAACAACCAAGGATGCCAGCACGGCCAGAGTGTCCTGTCTGTCATCCTGGCATGCTGAATTTAGGAATCATCTACTTCAAATGCAATTTTGTCCCTGTGGCTGTCTGCCTGCCATCGTATCCAGCCTGTATCCAACTGCTAATGAGCTTCATTCACCATCCTCACTTGGAGCTCATGTAATGAATAGCTCTGAAGTGAAGTATTATTAAACCCCTATGAATACAAGGTCCTATATCCTTGGAGGTGATGAAACTTCTCTTAGCTTTTGGCAAGAGGATTTGCATTTGCATTATGCCGTGGTGTTTCTTTGCAGCTGACCCAGTGTTACGCCTGATGGGGTTTGCCCAACCAGGAAAACCACCTCAGGGCTGTTCCTTGACAACTGTGCTATAGGTGGATCAAAACCTGAGACCTAAGGACAGAGGTTCAGAAAGCACTAAAGGTGGAATTACACTGAGTAGAGCTCTATCCAGAGAGTGGATGAAAAGGGAAACTTTACTGAAAATCCACGCTCTTTTCAAAGACAGCAAAGCCAAAGATGAAGTGTCTCTAAATGGTTGCACGCCCCTTCCAGACAGTTGTGTAAGTTGCCTTTGGCACTGACTGCATAGGGGAGGTTGCTGCCTCGAGGGAACCAGGAAACAATTAATGAAGGTCTGTCAAAATAGTAAAAGTCACTTTGTCTCGACACTACTTGGCATATTAACTCAATCCCACTTTCCTCCATGAAGAAACAGGTGCTGATTTGTTAAGCAGTTAGTCAAATAAACTCAGTTTGCTTTTCCTTTCCAAGTTTGTCCAGAGCAAGGAGTGGCTGTGCACAGTTCCCAGGCCTGCCATTGTCCCAGGAGCACCACTCCTGCCAGGGCTGGTGATTCACCCCTGCAGTGCCAGCCTGGTGTCAGCAGAGCAGGAGGAATCTCCACTGGCAACTCCCAGCCAGCTCCTGTGACCTGTCACAGGCACTGGGGACAGGACTTGAGTGATCCTCTCTAGGCTGTGAAAAATGTCATGGCACAATTTTGTGATGGCTAAATCTGCAGAAGGTTCCTTTGATTCGGGATGGAAAATAAAAAAAACGCCCCAATCTTTTCTATTGATAATTATGCTGGAAGCAGAAACTGGCTGACCTGTGCTTACAGCATTCCAGGTTCAGACTCAGACCAGTAAGACAGGCAGTTACACACCATCCTGGGCTCCAGTCCTCCCAGGACAGGGCAGAGTGGCCTGTCAGGTGAAGTGCAGGGAGCAGCCAGGGTATGTTCTGGGTATGGAATCATGGACTGGGTGGTTGCTGCTCCCATAGTCTGCATTCCTGTGAGCAACACAGGTGTCTCCTCCTCCATTTCCCAAGTCTCTGCTGTGATGTGGGGGATGAAGGGGAGATATCTTCCTAAAGTTTCCTTCTCCCATTACTACCACTCCCAGTCAGGGCAAGGGAGAGAAGCCCATAGAAGCAGAGAGAAGAGCTTGGGCAGAGCTGAAGGGGCAGGACAGTCTGGACTGAGTTTGGCTAAGACTGTAGGATCTGGCTGATTAGACATAATTTGCTGGTCTACACTCATTTTTTGGCCATTTTGCTCATGCACAGCATGGTGTAGGTAGATGTGCTGCAGAAATATTAATTGATAAGAACTGCAAATGTTCCCCCTGCTTTCTGAGTGTGTTTCAGGTCACAACACAACATGCTGTGCATAAAAGAAGCTGCACTGGCAGCACAGTCAAAGTTGGATGTCACTTTATTGTACCGTTTCTGATGTTATGAACAATGTTCAAAATGCCATTTGTAAGGATTTTGGTACATTAGGTCTGTTAAAGAGAATGGAATTTGCACACATCCTGGGGACACAGCATGGGCTATACATGCTTTTTATTCTACACTGAGGCAAAGAAGCACTTGGGTGAGTGCTATTCAGACAAGGAGGATTTTGTTTTCTCCTGGAGGTTGGCACGTTTTTATCTGCCTTCCCTGGATAACAGCTGGTAGTGAGCTGAAACCACCACTGCGTGTGCAAACCGTGGGATCCCAAACTTTGGGATACAGTTTTGTTTAATTATGCCCAATGCTTATAATGAGCTTAGGCAATGAATCTGTTAGACACAGGGTCATTACTATTATTACTTCTTACAGCATTACACACAGCAGACCATTATCCTTGATTCAAGTGTTTTGGTGCTGTTCTTGCTTTAAGAATAAATAAATACATTAATTAAAAAAAACAAAAACACACAACCTTTTTAGAAAAGAGGGAACTAAAAAGATTGAAATTGTTTCCTTAGATCAATTGCACTGTGTGAGGATGCAGTGTCTTGAATTAAAAATGTTGGGAGGATAGTAGAGTGTATGTGTTGTGCTTGATAAATGTGCTCTCAGGGCTGCTGTGAGAGAGTGAGATAGATCCACACGTCAGAAAACAAGATAAAGCACAACATCTGCTCTTCCCTTCCACCTCCGTGAGCTTGTGGGAGTTCTTTCCTGTTCCCTCATTTCCTCATCTATAAATCTAAAATAACACAGGCTCTCCTTACTGGAAGTTGTGTAAGCAACTCATGACTGTATGATGTTAAAACCTGGAAGGGAAGTGCACCAGGAGAGCAAAATATATTCTCTCCATAAATTATAGAAACGTGGCCAGAAAGTGATAAACAGAAAAAAATCACTACAAATTCTCCTGTCTCTTAATTACCTGGGTGCATCCCTTCTTTTGGTTATCCCTGACTGAGAAAGAGCCTGTTTGTAAACACTGGGATTCAGGGGTGGCAAGAAATCTGGAAAAGCCTTTGGAAGTTAGGCTGAACAGCAGCTCTGCGGTCGTGGCTGTGGTTATGGGATGTGAAACCAGATGATCCCTAAGTAGGTGCCCAAGTGAGCCTAAGTGAGCCCTTTGCCATCAAAGGTGCAATCAAAGGTATCTGCTCATGACCGCTTGCCTTCTGTGTTGGTGCTTTATAGGGCTGTTGGCTCACAAGGGATCTCTACACTGAGGAGCAGGCAGCAGGCAGAGGGAAAAGGATTATCTCCATAACTGCAGACACTGTGCTGGGGAGAGTGGAAGTCAGGTTTTGGAAAACGCAGAGACCACCTTTCCCTGAGCAACAAGAGGATTGCAAGGAGCTAGAAAGACTTTTGTAGGTGTCCAGCCTGTTAGGCTGTCTTTGAAATACCTTTTGTAATGGATCTGGGATTCTGTTATGCTGTTAATTATTTCTAGTTGCCTACACAAAGCTGATATCTTACTTAAGGCTTGAATTAGGGTCTGGCTTATATAACAATAATTTGAGTTATGGTTTTGATGGCAAATAAACATTGTCATTCTAGATGAGGGTAGAAAATCACTCTGATGCTGGGTAGAGTTGTCCTCTGAGCCACCTGATAGATAGCTCTGGCTTGGGTAACATGGAGAAGCTGTATGGCATCTCTGATCTGCAGTGAGGTGTTCCTCAAAACTTCTTGGCATCTCTCCTGTGATTGTTCCTAAAATACACACCTTGGTTATATGCCAGTTGTATAGCACTACCACATCAACTGCCCTGGTGAAAATGAAGCAATAAAAGCAATTGTTAGAGTCCTTTAAAGTGGCTGAACTGTTGTAAAGCTCAAGCAGCTCCAAGGGCTGGTTGACCTACAAGCCAGTCCAAAGATCACTGAAGCTCAGATGCTGAATATCACCAGATGTGCTAAAAGCTCTTAGGAGTAGACAAAACAATCGCTGTCCTGTGTGGGCAGTGTCCAAGCTGAGTCAAAGTGCTGCACATCAAACACAACGCACAATGAGACTCAGTGGAGAGGGAACAGTGCTCTGAGGGATGCAGCAGGGTGTAGAGGCATCTGCAGTCCCCAGTTTTAAAGCCCTGACTTCAAAGGTGCTCCCTGAAGAGAAGACAAAAACCCTACAAATCCAGTACCTTCAATGGCTCCTGCTCTGGCATTCCCTTACCAGCAGCTTCTCTCTCTCTCTCCCAGACCTGCTCAAGAACCCTGTCTTTGTGCTTAGGCACTTGCTTAAATCCTGGCAGTGGGAAACGTGCTGCCATCTTTCTTTGCTGGCTGGGAAGCACCTCATTACTTATGTCAGAGACACATTTAAAATGCCCATTATTTTGCTCACTTTGTCCAGGGGATTATCTCTGCAAGCTGTTTTGGTTTCCCAGCAAGGAATAGACCACAATCAGGTCTCTGATTTGAACTTGGGGTCTTGGAGGATTTTGAAGCTAAGAGGGTCTGCTGCAAGTCTTTCACCAGACCTCTTTCATGCAAACACAGATCGCAGTCAATGCCTCACTTTTCTGCCTTTTCACCACTTCAGATGTAGCTCCTGATGCCACAGCCACCATCACTAGGCTTCAGAGTCAACAGTTCTACTAATGACAATTCCAGACCGTGTGGAAAGCGCGACAAGGATGGCAAGTTAGGGTCGTACCCGGGATGTCTTCCCTGCCACCGGGCCTTTAGGAACGACTAAGGTGGTTCTCATCCCCAGGAGCGGAGCACGGGGCGGAGGGCGAGCGCTTGGCCGGGGCCACCGGAGGGCTCGGGCAGCCTGCCTGTCTGTCCGTCTGTCTGCTCACCTGCCTGCCTTCCACCGGCGACCGCTCCCCGGTGCCGGGCACGGCGGGGTCCCTCGGCCGCCGCTCCCAACCGGGGCCACCGCCCCCGCCCCGCCGCGCTCCGCCCCCGGGGCCGCCCCAGGTAGCGGCGGGGGGGCGGCTCCGCCACGCGAGCAGCGACCGTGGGACCCGCACGGCTCGGCTCGGTTTAGCTTGGCTTGGCTTGGCTTGGCTTATCGCGGCTCGGCGCTTCTCCACCGCAGGTAAGAGCCGCGGCCCCGCGGACGGGGATCCTCCCGCGCCGTCGGGGCGCTGCCTTCCCCTCGAAAGTACCGGGGAGGGGGCTGCCAGCGGGGACTCGCCGCGTCTCACCGCCCTCGCCGGGACCCAAACACTCTTCCAGCCTCCTCGCACCGTGCGTCGGGGCTGTCCCCGGGCTCCGCGGGCCGGCGCAGGGGGCAGGAGGTGGCCTGCCCCGGGGCAGGGGGCAGGAGGTGCCCGCGGTGCCTGTGGGTGCGCTCCGCGCCCCCGAGGTGCGGTGTGAGGGGCAGCCCTCGGGAGCGGCGGGGCGCAGAGGGCAACAGCAGTTCCAGCTCTAAAATAAACATTTCCCAGCAATGCGAGGCGATATAATAGCCCTTTATCTTTGAAATACCCTGAGCACGGGGCGGGGGGGCTGTAGGGGAGAGGCTGGAGAGCGGGGCCTTCCCAGCTGTTCTCCAGCTGGTGTGTGACCTGCCCGTTCCCGTCACGCTGGGCATTGCTCGGCTTGGGGAGTGCGAGCAGGTAACACCACAACTACACGGCGATAAAGCACTGCCGGGAAACGCGGGATCGCGGTGCCATTGTCGCTGCTGGGGAAGGGCAGAGACCCGGGGGGTGTCGGACTGCACAGCCCGCCCGGAGCTCCCACCACGGAGCTGCTGTTCGGCAGGACAGGTGAAAGACCAGACTTGTGCGTCCACCCACGCTGCCCTATGGCACTGGACAGTGAGTCCATTGCACAAAGCCAAACGGATCAGTCGTTCTAATTTAGTTCATAAAAACTCTCCAGTTTGTTCAGTATCTGCTAAACAAAACACAGTTATTTTTTTACCATACTTTGTGAGACTGCACTTTGATTTTCCCCAGTGTTTTCTCCATGCTCCCAGCAGCCCGGCAGCGCAGCTCATCTAATACAGAGGGTAACATCGTGCTGTGGGACTGCAGGGCAATATCACCCACACCGGCACTAGTGGTTCCACCTTTTTGCTTCCCACAGCTCTGCCTTCACTCTGTCCTTTCCTTCTAACGAGCATGACATGTTGTGTGCTTGTGCAGTGCATCAGGTTGATCTGACCTAAATTAAGTCTAACCTGTCAAAAAAAGAAAAAGTGGGGGTTAATTCTAGCCTGGATTTTCAATGTCCTGAGACAATATAAGAGTGTGGCCTCAGAATATGTGTTTTTGTGCAACTCTTTGGTGGCAAATCTAGTTTCAACCTCTCCTGCTGTTTCCTATCACTTATTCCTGATCTAGTGCTGCACTCTCAGCTGTGCAAGTAACAATCTGTGGGGTTTCATAGTAGCCTGGATTAGCTCTGAGTTCAAATAAACATCTCCTTATAAATGTTTTTTTTTCCCCTTCCAAGGTAAAAATGTCACTGGAACTATAGTTTTAATCTGTGTAACTGTTCCTAGATCATGGGAGAACTGGTGTTCGTTTATAGTGGGTACAAGATTGAATCCATACACTGCTGTATGAAAGCGTAAGAACTAAAAGGCTTTTAATTCCTGCTGTTTGTGCTTGCTATCCTGGAAGTGTTTGCATATGCATTCACTGAAGACTTTGGTATGATCACTGTCTTCAGGACAGTTTCATCAGAAGAATTTATAGTGTAAGCCAGAGGAGAGACTAACCCATCTTTAAATCAAGCTTCCTTTGCAATTTTGACAAAATCCTGCTGTCCCCTTTGCAGATCTGATACACTTTTCAGGTAACAAACTGACAACACTTAACTAACTCTAGGTTTTACAGCAGTACTTCTTGCTACATCTAGGTGTAGCAAAGGAATACATTTGTTATTTGTTAACATGATAGTTGTTGTTGTAGTGCAATAGTCATGTTAGTTGACTTGTGTGTGGTTCAGAGATAGTTTTTCCTACCTTACTTTTATTTTGATGCAGCCCCAGATTAAAATGGGCAGGTCTCAGCGTGACATTTCAGAATCTTGGATCACCCTGGCTGGTTGTAGTTCCACGGAAGGGCAGTCACATCCACCTGGCCCTCCCCAGCAGGTCCGTGTGTGTTTGTTACTGGTTTGGCTGAGGAAGCAGGGTTTTTTTGAAGCATTTCTCAATGGCTAACATTGAGAAGTATCCTGAAGTGGTCATTTCAGGTATGTTTTCTGCTGGTAAAATGTATCTTGTGCTTCAAGTTCTGCCTATTTGGTGAGCTCCTGGAAATGTGTGCTTAGCTTAGTGCAGCACAGTAGTGTTTGATATTTGACGTAAGCAGTAAGATTTATGTTTGGAAGTATTAGCTAATTAAAACAGGGGAAATGTGGGGGTGCTTGTTGTAATCCCAGTTAGCAGGTGGCTTACTTTGCAGCATGGAGAACATCATAGAACAGAGAAATGAATTAACTTATTCATCACAGGTCTTTGCTTGGCAGAGGAGGATAAAAGGCAGCAAATTAAACTTTAGCACTGCAGAGACATCTTGAGCTGGCCCTGTTTCTGTGTGGTTCTGGTGGTTTCTCCAGGAAAATACCAGTCTCTGGTCACCTGATTTGGTCAGGACAGCAGCTTGCTTTTACCTATAAGTGAAAGGTTTTAGACCCAGTGATGCAGAAAAAATCTGTAGCGCTGTCTCCTGCACACTGGTGGAGGGGTGTCTACCTGAATCTGCAGGTGGTGTCACTCCAACTCCAGATAGGATGAGTTCCATCATGTACCTGAACTTTCTTTATCTTCCACCACTGTGGCATGGCATGGTCATGGCTTTCTCCGTGGAGGGCTGTATCCCAGTGCAGAATGTAGCTGTGCCTTGCCTTCAAGCTGGGGAATGATCAGCAGGGACTTACTTGCATGTGTTTTGTAGTAGAACTTGTACAGATTCATCTTGTGTGTTGCTCAGAGTTCTTTTACGTCACTGTCGGTGTGTTCAGCAGTGAGATACTGGGAAGTAGTTCACTATTTCCAGTTCCTTCGTGGAAAAACTGAGGCAGAGCTGCGAGGCTGGAGAGCCCATGAGAAGGAAACTGAAGTCTGTTGTCTCGGCCATCGCTGCAATGTTTGTGACAGGAAGGAAGGGCTTTAATGAACGGTGAGTTTTGTAACACCAATCAACCTCGTTGGTGCGTGCTATTCTCTGGATTTGGGGTCTCAGCTAGTGATTCTGTAGGCCTAGAAACTGGTTGCCTCCTGGGGTTCCGGAATTCAATGGAATATTCAGGGAATTGCAGAAATCTCTGCATCCACTCTTCAGTGCTTAAGGAGGATGTAAATTCCCTGTTCTGTGCATCCTTTGGGAGGGAGCTGAGCTGGGCTCACTTAATGGCTCCCCTTCACAAGGGGGTATCTTCCTCTGTATTTTGGGGCATAGCATGTTTGCCAATAGGCATGGAACCAAGAAAAGACTCACAGAAGAGAGTACTATTTCTTTACATTTTTTTGCTATTGTAAAATTAGAGTGACTAATTCCTCTTTCCTGAGAGTTTTGTTGTGGCTCTAAAATGGACTTTGAGGATGTTGGACATTGTGCAGGAAATGGGAGAGGCCTGGCTTCAGATACACAGAGACATTTGGCTCAAGGAAATCTTTCTAACGACAGTCCCAGCCTGCAGCTGAGAGTTGTGAAGTTAGAGAGTTGATGGCAAAAGGGTGATATCTACTGGTTCTTGGCTCTTGTGCCACACCCCAAAGGTTCTTAAAGACCTTTATAAAGCTCTTTTTAAAGCCTTGGCCCCAGATCTAAATGGGTAATAGTAATAAATAACCACTGACATTGCTTAGAGTTTTTTATCCTTCAGTTGTCATGCATACATTGAACTTGTTTGTAGCATGTAAATTCCAGAGCAAATTCACTACAAGAACCTTCTTGTAATGACTTCTGGAGCCATTAATAAAGGCATTTTAGTTTTTACTGTCAAGATGAGGAGTTCACATTTTTAAAGTCATAAACATAGACTATCTGTGTAGAGAGTTGAATAATTTTTGTTCTAGATCTGTCAATTGAGTTAGTTAGATTTCACCCCAAAATCAAGTTCTGGATGGTACTGAGGTGCAAGCCAGAGGCTGTCACAGAGAGCAGCTGTTGCAGAAGGCAGGGGTGTGAGAACAGGAGGAAATGTGGCTGATACCAAAAAACATGTGATACTCTGGGCAAGAGCAGTGTGCAGCCTTGTTGCCAAGTGAGGTGACTGTCAATTGTGTGGGTCGTGAGAAGGGATTTGCTTTTGATCCAAGTTCTCACCTGGAATGGGTGGCTGCAGCTTGTTGTTTACATAAAGTCTGAGTTTGCCCACATGTTTTGGCAGCCTCCACAAGGCAAGATAATGTGAGTCAGGATGACAAAAGGTGGTGTGCCCTGGGTTATTGGAGAGGAAATGCACCAGAGACAAAGCTGGCCTTTAGATTGTATTAGCCATGAGAAAGATGACTAAATTCTCTTATGTTTTTCTGCTCTAAATCTGAATGACTATTACTTTGAGGCAGTTATTTGTGTGTAGATGTGCTGTAAGTTGCAGATATTTCCATGTCCTACTGCAGTTGCCTTTGCAGCACTGTAGACTGTGATCCAGGCTTTGTGCATAACACCAGTGTGTACAGACGTATTTCAGCTGCTCCCTGGTTCCATTTGCTCTGCTGCATTTCTGCAGGACACGTGTGATGATTCCTATGTAAGGTTTTCCATCTACTTGTAAGATTTATCTGGAACTTTTATTTTAGCTTAATTGAGATAATCTCTCTGTAATAAACTTTAAACTGATGGCTCTAAATATTTACTGCTATCTTAATATCTGTCACTAACTCAAGCACTGTCTCTATTCTCTTTGTACCCTACAGAACTTTCCTTTTTACCTTCTGTGAAGGAAGCTCAGATCTTACACAGCAGTGTGTTCCCAGCCTAACCTGCCTACCCAGTAGTCTCCTACCTAATAATCCCTAATATTCTCATTATCCACCTTTATCACAAACATTTTAATCCTTTTGCTTCTACATCGCAGGTTCAACAGTGTGACCACTCTATTGATTCATATACTCACAGCAAAGCCTTCATCTGTCTCATGGATTATAGATCCAGATTGGTAACTATCGCTTGCTTGCAATATTTATTAGCAGCTATGTTAATTGCTCACACTCTGTTTTCTGCTTCTGATAAATCTCTCTTGTAGCACAGCATTTGTGTAAGACTCCATAAGGTCACAGCCTTATTTCCTTTATGAGCTTTATTCTTAGGACGACGCACATTGGTTGTAAAAAATTTCCATAGCTTGATAGAAATTCGATTCAGAATTTAAGTTCTGAAAAAGAAAACAAAAATATTTATTTTCCAGTGACAGAGCACATAAAGGAATGAGTTTTTATAATAGAAAATTAACATAGATGTATAATTTGTGAACTAGAGTATTTTAATTTAAATGCACTTTTAAAGACTCTTTTTGGGGAATAAACCCCTGCAAGGTATTAACTCTTTCAAAAAGAAGTTATGCTGCATGTTAGTAATATCTCTCATGGGTTACTGTTTAACTGTACGTATTAGAGATTAAGAAATCTTTTGGTTTACCTACTTTTTTGTTGCTTCCCTACCAGAAAACTTAGAGAATATTTTCCACAGTCGTTTAGCATCTTCAGAGCTGTCTGCAATGCTGCTGTCCTATGTTTCTGTAAGAGCCTTGGCCCGTGTGTGTGATCTATTTGACTTTAGCACAATGCATGTGGGTTTTTTTTAAAACTTTGACCTTTAATTGGGCTCGTTATTTCTGCTTTACCAAATGAGTGTGTCTAGTAATCTCTTTTCTTCCTTCCACACTCCTCAGTGCCCATGGATAGCCAGGAGTTCAACAGGTACAGCTGTGTTTGTGACTGTGCCCCTTCTCTTGTTGCCTGCTGTTACCATTTATTCCTTCTAGACTGATAGACATCAGCTGCTTTCTCAGATTTTCTCTCTTGGCTGACCTTGAGCACTGGAAGTAAAAACCAGTACTGTGGAAGTAGGAAAAAAGAAGTTTGGACTCTGATATAAAAGGAACAATTTAACACTGATAGCTCTGTGAAAAAAAAATGTCAGGAGAAACAACAGGGTCTCAGCTGCTGAAAACACAGACATACACACACAGAAAATGAGGCTGGACTGAGCCTGGAGCAGCTGACATAAGATCTTTGACTCTCAGAAATATAGAGGGTGGTTTCACCCCATCTTCTCATCTGCCTGAACAAAGAAATGTGTCTGTGCTGGCAGATGATGATGAAACAGTTTAACAGTCACGTTTAAATTGTTACTGGTCCTATGTAACACAAAACACATGTAGGAGATTTAGGTTTTGCCTTTAGAAATGAAACAGTGACATATTAAAAGATGTTTTTACTGCTAGAAATGCCCAGAAGCTGCAATATCCAGAACATACAGGTTCATAAGAAATTGAATTTGTTAGTGTGTAGTTTGAAGTATGAGTTGCATCAGTGGGACCACGTTTCATGGTTAACTGAGGTGACTGATAGAAGACAAGGAGACTTTTTTCCAACCTCAAACTTCTTTCTCACAGTGTTGTGAGAGAAAATGAGACATAGAAATGGTCATGTCTGTGAACACACCCGTGTGGTTGCTAATAAAGAGATGTGTAGCTTCCAAGGGAATGATTGGATTTCTTGCTTCTTGGCTGTGAGAGGATAGAGAAGAGCATACTCCATTAGTTTGGAGCCAAAACTGTAAGAGGCTGGCAGCACTTGGAGTCGACCTTAGCTTTTTTCCTGGAAATAAATGAATGGTGAGATACAGCAGTTGATTTTTAACCAACACTTTGAGCAGTTCATCCATTTCACTGAAGCTGGCTGTGGGCAGTAAATACTGCAGAACAGCGGTGCCAGTGACCACTTCCAGTGATTCTTAAGAGCAGGAACACTATGCTGTGTTCAACTAGTTTGATTCTTCACCACGATGTTGGTCAAAAATTCAAGAGCACAGCTGTGTGAATCCATCTGTATGACACATTTCAGTGAGCACTGAGAGCAGCAAAGGCTGGTTTCCCATGGAGGTGTCTTAGGGCAATAGGCTTTTTTTCTTTTAAACTTCATTAGACCAAAATAGAAACTAAATGCAGGAGAGCCGCCTTGACCGAGGAACATATTCTTTGGTGGCTAATAAGCTCTGATTAAGATTTTATTGCTTTAGAGCATTTGCAGCAACTGGCTCTTACGTGGTTTCTTTGTCTAATAAAAGATGAGCTCACACTGCAGACTTTTTCCTCAATAGGGAAATAATAAGGTATCTCACAGCTACGTAACTGCCTATTTTCACAAACTAGTTGGAAGTGGATGTTTTGGAGACCTTACTCCCGTTACTAAAGCACATGGGGGAAAAAAAGGTTGTCAGTTTTAGTATGCTCTTAGCAACAAAGCAGCAGGCTACCAAGGCAGACAACCAAATGATGCAAGGCTTCGTACTGAAGTGTCCTCAAGGACAACCTGATTGGCAGCTTTTTCCTCTCATATGTAATGGGTTTTATGGAATGCAGATAAATCTTTCCTGTACAGGTGCTTTATTGAGGATCATTCCAAGGCAGTCAAAATGGAAACGCTCACAAGCCTCTCCTTTGCCCTCTGCATGCCGGTTGTGTTTGACTTGCTCTTCTGCATCTGAACCCGAGTCAGGGTGCGAAACAGCAGAGATGCTGCTCCATTTGGAGTCATCCCAACTGAACAGTGTAATTGTGTAATATATCCCTGTGTGCCCAGGGAGCAGGGGCCACACTGCCAGCTAAATGGCCTTGGACCAAGGAGGGAATACAACCCCCTGGGAACAATGGCTGTGTGAGCTGTCTGGATGATTGGGATGGGAGCTGTCCACCCTCGGTGTGTTGTCACCGTTCCCCTCTGCTCAGAACCTCCTCCAGGTGCCGAGGGCTTGCAGGAGATGTGATTCCATGGACCTGTCTCTCAGTAGCATAGCAACTGCCATCACTTCCCACTGCTCGGTCCCCTCTGCTTGGCTCCCTCAGCCGTGCTGGATCAGGAGCTGAACCAACTTTACAAACAGCCCTGCAGAACAGAAGTTGTAGGAGGATTTATTTTTAACTGGGATCTCTCTGTGCTCTGAACCAGCTCTTGGTGGGGTACAGGACTGGCATGACTAGGGAGTGCTTGAAGCAAGAGTTAGACAATAGGTGAGGAAGAGGGAGGGGAGGGGAACCGGGAGAAAGGTCTGCTGTGTCCTGGCTTCAGAATTCAGCAGCAATTCAGGGGCAGCTCTGTGAACACTTTCAGCCTAAACGCTGGTGGAGTTCATCTTCAGTCATGATCTGCCATGAGAGGAGTAATCAAATATTAGCACAGAAGTCCTTTCAGTTTCACTCTATTGACCGGGGTGGGGGAAGGGAAAAATCAAATTTAAGCAAGGGGATGGAATTTTCTTTGAAATCTTTGTGCTCAGATGCTGCCTCTGGTGATTCAGGGTGCTGACCTGCAGCATCTCCAGCGCAGCACAGAGGCAGGCGCAGGCCAGCGAGTGTTGTGCTTCTATGACAACAGCCCCGCGCTCCGTGCAAGTATCATTTGATCTTATTTTCTGTGTTGTGCTTCTAACAAAGCTGCTCGAGCTGGCCACACTCTGTAATTGCTTTCTTAACTGAGATCTGAAAGTCACATTCTTAGCCAGGTACACTTCTGATTAGAGCAATCAAGGGGGGTTAATAGGAGCAGCAGTGCTTCAGTTAAAAGATCAGCTTGGAGTGTGCGGATGGATTCTGTGAAAGCAGGGGCAGAAAGAAGGTATTGATTCCTGTATGATTAGTGGAATACTTCTTTGTTAAAGGTCTGCCTCTGAATCTTTAAATGACCAGCCTTCAAGTGATGAGGGCTTCTCACTTTTTCAAGCCTCTGTGAGTGGAATGGAGAAGTAGAGATTTTTTTTTTGTTTTCCTTCTTCACTTGAGTGCACAAGTGTTCTCATTGGTATTTGTGGAAATTACAATGTATATGGGGAAGACAAATTACTCAAATAGACAACCTCTCACTGTCTTCCAGTTTGGTGATGGTACAAATCAACTAATCACCTGCTGCATAATTTTTACAGCTGAGATTTCTAAGATTGAGGAGGCTGTGAGTGCATTGGCCTGAGTGTGTGTGTAGAAGTTAGTCAGATGTTGAATTCTTCATTTTAGAAATTCCTGTTATGAACACAACACATGGGTAGAAGAGCTATTTTCTGATACACTGATGAGAAGAAAATTTGTTCCTGTTTTCTGGAGTGTTTCAAAGGACTGTGCAATCTGACAGAAGAGCAGCTGAAGTTCAGAAGAGAGTGTATCAGAATTGTGTTGTATCCTACAGAGAAACACTTGTGGGAAGATTTTATTGCATTCAGTGCAGCTGTTCACTATTGAGCTACTGATAAATTACTTCAGAAACTATCCTTGTTAATGCAATCTGTGAATGAAATGCCTGCTGCACCAGCCCTTCTCTGTGTGAGAAAGTTGCACATGTTTAATTAGAGATAAACCGTCCTGCATATTGTACTGAAGTTTAAACTGGGTTGGGTTTGGTTTGGTTCCCCTCTGTGGGGAATTTAAATTAAATTATCATCCCTATTTAAGTTGCCTTTGGACAACATTTTGGTTTATAGCTGTTTAACTGTAGTGAATTTTTGGTTTGGTTTTGTTTGTTTTTTTTTTTTTCAGTGAATGAGTGAAGTCCTGTGTGCAGGTGAGACTTAGTAAGAAGGGAAGTATTTGGGCATTGGAGGGAGTTTTGTTCCCAAAGGTGCCTATGAATCTGAGTTGAGGGGAAAATTAGCTTATTTACTTGGATGCTGGAGAAAGATGAGTCTTGGGTCTCCACCCTGTGCTTTCTGACACTGCACACAAGTAGCACAGGTCCTGCTTTGGAGGAGCAGCTGCTGCTCAGACCTGTGCTGTCATTGCCCCAGTTTGCCAGCCCTGTGCCTGGTTATAAGGAGCCAAGACCTTTGCTTGTTTGATGTGGGGTAGAGTTTGAAGCAGCATGAGAGATTAAAAGTGTGGTATAGCTGGTAAAAGGTAAAGTTTCCTTTTCCTCCTCAGTAGCAATTTGGTCTGTGTGGTTGTGTTCTGCTCTCTACAGAGATGAAAAGTCAGGGCCTTGCCTTCTCCCATGAAGTGTCAGAGCTGCTTTAATTAAAGCAGCCAGGGCTGCTCAGTGAGTCCTGATATTTCAGATTCAGCTCTTGTTTTCTGCTTTCTGAATCCAGTTCAGGGTCACAAGGGAAGCAGGGATCTCTGAGGCTGCATCTTCCTTCCTCCCCACCCCACTAATATTCACAACTCTCACGACCACATAATAACATAATAAAGGGATAGTTTATCCATTCCAAATGCTGCCTGCAGCCACACTGAGCCCTCATATTTTATGCAGGTGCTGTTCATTTCAATTGCAGCCTTGATAGTAGATGGGTGTTGGATAGATTCAAAATTTCAGCTGAAATTCCTGCTGTTTCATCTTATCCTGTTGCCTTTTTTTCTTTTTTTTTTTTTTTCTTCTGTAAATGTTGAGGACAGAATTTTCCTAAGGATAAAATGGTGGTGGTGCATGTGCTAGAAGTGCAGATTTTCCATAGAAGTCATAGAAGGAATTATTTAGGTTTATTTACCTTGGAGGCTGCTTGATGAGTTGCACAGTTGGCTGCACTGTCAAAGATTTTAGTTCTTGGTTGCAGTGCTGCAGTTTATTGGAGCAACAGAAGTGGCACCCTGCCACAGGAGTAAAGAATGGTGTTTCCCCACGAGTATTTGAGCAATCTGCAATATCCATCTGTTATTCTGTTCAACACAAAGCAGTGTAACAGGTGTATTTCTTGGGTTTGGGAATCTTAGCAATACAAGTGAATAATAGACATTTAAAGCCAGGATTTAAAAGAAGATTTCAAAGTGTGTTCCTCTTTATTCAGCAGATATAGTGGTTATGACATAAGAAAGTAGAGAGGTAACCTAAACATATGGTACACACTTAAGGAAAGCAAATGCTGAACTGCTCTTAAATGTGTTCTTTTTCTGTGTTTGTCATTGTCTTAGATGGCTTCAGTAACAGATCCCAGATACAGGCAGAAAGATACTTCAGACCAAAATTTTGATTACATGTTCAAGCTCCTGATCATTGGCAACAGCAGCGTGGGTAAAACATCCTTCCTCTTCAGATACGCCGATGACACTTTCACACCAGCCTTCGTTAGCACAGTAGGGATTGACTTCAAAGTGAAAACAGTTTACAGAAATGACAAGCGGGTGAAGCTGCAGATTTGGGTAAGTGCCAGCGTGTTCAAAACCACTTTGTATTAATCCCAGCAAAAGATATGATGGTAAAAATTGGCTTGTTTGGAAGTAGATTTCTGGATTGCTATAGACTTTGGTTGTTCCTCAGTCCTGTGTGGCTGCATCTTTGTATCCCTGAAGTGAGCTGAGTTCTCTGTATTGCTGGTCAGAGCCCTGGTATTGTCTGAAGCAGCTGCTCTGCAATCTGAAGAGTCTGTCCTATTAAACTGCAACAAACCCTACTCAGGTCTGGAGCCCTTCAGTAGCACTTTTTCAGTGAGCAGAAATTCTGTGAGTGTTCAGTGAGTGAACTCTACACACTTCTATTGGTTTATGACCTCTACATAAGATACTTGTATCTTCCTGCAGCTCCTGTACCTGCTCAGCAGTGCCAAGCATTTCTACCCAAATCCTGCCCCAGCTAAGAGCTTAGTCTTCTAATTGATTTATATACACTTGATTTATAATTGATCTTTAATAATTATATTTAAATGTAAAATTACAGTAATCACGTGTGGGGTTTTTTATTTATTGTGGTGATCTTGACTAGTCACAATATATAGTAAGCATCTAAAGTGAGGATTTTTTCTTTTAACTACAGCTGTATAATTCATTTTATTTCTGGGTTGCTGGATACAAGGTACAACAAATTACTTTATAAAAGGTCCTTTTTGTGTTGTAAAATCCTGACATTGAAACTAGAGCAGATAACCTGGCATGAAGCTGTTTGATTTAATTTGGGGTTTTGGTAATAAAAATGTTTGTACTTTAGGCCCTATAAGCAACTAAAGATGATTTTTATCCAGTTGGTCTTTCTTAATTTTGGAACGTGGAATTTTCTAATAAGTTGTGTAAAAGCAAGACAGGAAGCACCATAAAATATTTGGGGCTTTTTCAAAGATACTGGGATTAAAGTGAATTAAGCAATAATCTTAATTAAATCTATTTGAAGGCTTTGGGGGGAAAAAGGCTTTAATAACTTTAAACTTCTTAGGGAAAGAGATGTCAGGTGGATTCCCCAGAGGGTGCTATCTATAGGACCTGTAATGTTGGAGTTACCAACAACACTGTTGATTTAACATTTAATTTTTAATAAAAGGTTCATCTAAGTGTTTGACAGTTTCCACAGTAACTCGTGTTCTGTTCTTCTCTCTTTCTGTGCTCGTTGCATGGATCCCTTATGTGAGTTATGATTCAAGGACCTCAACAGAAACATCGTGTACCTCCATTAAAACCACAGTGTTTGAACTTGTTTGCCTCCTGCCCATCCTGAGATTATACTTTTAATCTGAATGTGTTCTTCAGAGTACGGGTAGTAATAGTGGGGTCTATTAACATAACAAAACTATGTGTTCCTAGGTGTAAGGAAGGACGAGTTTTCTTACCAATCTGCCTTCCGATTACTTTTTAAAATGATTTACAGCTGCTATTGAGCTTCTGTGAGTGTGGGACTCTGTGGCCCCAGTGAACACTTTGCTTTGATCTACAGTTTTCCAGTTATGTTGACTTGTTAAATTATGCTCCTCCTGAGCTTGATGTTAAGCCAGGTTTAACGTGGAACCAAGTGAAGAAGGATAAGGTACAAGTGCTTAATTTAACCACTTCAAATGTCTTTATAGAATCCGGAGAGAAGCACTTCTGGGAACCTCTGGTGCTCTCTGTCTGCAAAGCCAGGTCTTTCTGAGTTCAGGGGTGCTTGTGGAGCTCTCGAGTGTGCAGCTGTGGCAGATTTGAGGTGCTGAAGGGCTGTACCAAATAACCTTGTTTTGTGCTCTGTAAATCCTGAGGTGAGGGGGCAGTTGCTGCTGCTGTGCTGTGATCCAGAGACATCAGTGGGACTTTCTACACTGACGCCTGTGCTGAACAGAAGAGTGTGTTGAATATTCGGGTGCGGTACTCCAGCTACAAACACTTCTTTGGGTTTTCTTAGAGCTGAGAAAAATAAGGGCCAAGCAGCTGTGTGTGAAGACTGACAGCTGTGTCAGTAAACATCTTTCTGGCCCGTCTCGAGCTTTTGTATCTCCAGCAGAAATTGAGGAGCATTTTCAAGCCAGAGGTCCCGCGGTTGTGTCTGTGCTGGGTTTGAGGAAGTCTGCGTTTTGTGAATCAGGATTTGACAAGCTGTCAAATGCAATGGTCAAAAAAGAGTGCTCCTCCACTTAATTTTGATGTCATTAGTGGGCCTCCTGCCTTGTTGACATTAACGCCTCCATCGCCCAAATTGATATTTTAATAAGAGCCCCATCAGTTGTGCCAGTGACCAAGCAGGCTGGGAATGGTCTGCTTTGGAAAGACTTGAAAGGAATATCTCTTTAGCTTGAGAGGAATGGCACATAGCAAAGATATTCATGATGTTTTTAAGGTAGAATGACAGTGCTGCTGCTAGAGAACAAATCATTAAAATGGTCCAGAGAGGGCTTACATGACATAATGCTTTGCAGGCTTTTAAATTTCTTTCTTTCTTTCTTTAAACAACTCCAAGATGAGTTGACTGTGTTTTAATTTCAAATATTTTCTGACTCGTTTAGAAGTGGTGGTGTTATATAAATTAAGTTCATTGAGAAAGTTAATTTTGTACTTGGGTAAGATTTTATAATCTTTAAAATATCAAATTTAAAAGATTAGTTACATAAAGATATTAATATACTATTTAGATATTCCAATATCTACATAAATGTAATTCTTGAATTAGATTTTTTTTAAGCCACTGCCACCTGTAACAGTACTTTCATATAAAGAGTCTTCCTTATGATTGATTTGTAAGGAGCCAGTTTATAACATCTCTCTACATTTGGAGTGTGCACATAGGTTATTTCTTTCTTAACCAACAATTTTGTATTCTCAGAGTTGCTAATTACTGATTACTGAAGGAAAGCTATTATATTTTCAGCTAGGTATGGTTTTTGTTATAAATAAACCTCAAAGGTAACATTATTATATTCTTGGCAAATGCAAACAGTTAATACTTAATGCAGAGTTCAGGTTGCCTAGCAGCTAGAGAGGGCCACTTTGTCCAGATCCACGGTGAATGAATAAAAGTGATTTCAGTTTTAGGTGAAAGCAAGGTGAGATTTCTTCTTTTGTTGTTGTTGTGGTGGGTTTTTTTGTTTTTTTCCCCCTTTTTCTGTGCATTTGCATGTCTGTTGATGGTAACTAATAACGGTGGTAGAAATAACAGCAGAACTCGAGAGCTGCACAGCACTGAGGTTAAAAGCTGAGGGGCAAACTCTGGTGGGTCGTGCTGGCCCAGGCTACATTAATGACATGAACTCTTTACATAGTAACATCAAACAACTGCTGGAAAGTCACGGGCAGCGTTCAGCCCAAAGCACCTGCACACCACACAGCACATGCTTTGTGTGGGGCATTTGATTACACTTCCATTACACTTTTGTACAGCCCCCTGCACAGGGGGCTCTGGCTTTTGTTGCACGTACTGCACGTAACACACAACCACTCATGTGATTAATAATAAACAGGACCAAATACAGGGTTTGGCAGCTAATGTTGCACTTGAAACTACTTTCAACCCCCTTGTAAAAGGCAAATAGAATTAAATTTAAACTTCAGCTAAAAGGCTGTGGTGTCCAGAGGCAACCTATTTAGACTTGCAGTATGATTTTTCTTTGAAGATGCTCCTTATCGGAATTACACTACTAAGATGAAGGTTTTTCGTTTCCATTAACAAAAATGTTTCTATGTCTTAACTGCTGAAACTGATGTTGGGGTGTGAGATTAGCTGTAGTGGATGTCTGGAACACGTGTTACAGCTCTCAGGCACAGCTGGGGAGTGGGTACAAAGCAACATCGCTCTGGTTTTTCCGGATCTTTAAGAACCAAAATATGACAACTGCTAATTATACTGAGTGGCAGTTACCATTACAAAACAGAAAAGTGTAAATCAAAATAAACCCCATGCTGTGTGGAGCTGTCCAGAAGGCAAATATGGAGTGTTTTTAAAAGCTTTTTGTATCAGTTGTCTTGTGGATGTTACTGAGCAGCTCATCTCATAAGAAGGGATTCACAGAAGTAACACTGGTAACTAAGTATTTTTTTTTTTCCATTTACAGGAAGTAAAATTAGAACACCATCATATTTGATTGTAAATTTTAATGTTAATTGCACACTTAACCAAAAACTAATTATGCATTTCAGATGAGAGAATCATCTATTCCCCAGGCATCCCATTCCCATCATGGTTTTGCTGAGTTCCTTACAAGCACTGACTTAAAGCTTGAATGCTTGCACAAAAGTTGTTTCTAAAAAAAGAGATATTAAGGTTCTGTAATTTAATGTATAGATGCAATAGCAATGGATGTCCCTAAGGATCTGACAGGCCTGATTCTGCTCAGTAAATTCACAGCTGTTGTCAAATCCTCTGATTTGCTGTTTAGACAAAGAACTAAAATGGAGGAATTCATGAGAGCGAAAAGAACAGGTTGATCCTTGTAAGGGAGTCAAGAATTACATTTTATTTGCAGCATTAAGGACTTACTGGTCCCAGGAATGGGAATCATTGTGGCTGAATGGACATAAAGCACTTCTTGATGCTAAAACACAATGCAGGATATTTGACTGGAGAAGAGATGCAATAACAGTGTCTGCAATTCAATTCCAAGGTCTTGGTTACATCTCAAGTAATAATACCACTGCTTTGAGAAGAACTTGGTGCTGATGCCACTCTGAATGGGCTTTAAGATTAGAGTTGCAGGAGTGATACAAGGGAGAAAAAGAAAAACTTAAAAAATAAACCCTTGAGTGGTTAGTTATCCCTCTCACTATTGAATTTATTGAACAGCCTAAGCTTGCTGAGCAAGGCATTGCTGTGTTTGCAGTTAAACGGTTGACATGGAGGGTTTATTTCTGTTTATAGTTAATCACTTCAATCCCAGTGTTATCTCATTATAACTCTGCATTATAGTGAAGGCCAAATTCAACTTCAGTCCAAGTTCTGTCACCACAGCAGTTATTCCTGCTGACAATAGTGGATT